GAGAGAGGAAGAAAGGAATGAAAGTTTGTAACCATTAGGATGTCAACCTTCCTTACACGTTCATGGTTGGCTCTTTTTGGTGCCCTCTTTTGTATGAATTTAACGGTGGGGCGTTGATCTCTATTTCCACTTCGTACCTAGGAGTGCCGTATTATTAGCAAAAGTCAACATCCATGTGGCAAGCATATTTTGTAATCTCCTGTTTCCTTTCCACACTGGTATTCATGTATCAACCTCGATAGGAAAAAAGACGAGTGACCCTGACCGAGGCTCGAAACTGGGACCTCTTGGTTCCAAGTCCAAAGCTTTATCAAATGAGCAACCCCGGTCTGAAGCAACGCGCGGTAAATTTTCTTCTCCATGAAGTTCGTGGTTGAGAAAAGGATGTTTTCCTCTGCCGGAATCGATTCCGGTACCTCAGGAGTTCGAAGCTGAGCTCTTACACACTGTGGTTCCAAGCCACCACTTGAGCAGTGAATGGTAACTGAAAATTGCAGTGATAAGTTATTATTCATTTTGCAGAATTTGAATTGCTCATTGCAAAAAATTAATAACAAACGTTTAAGCTAATAAACGCTTTGCTCAGAGTTATCTTCCTTGGTTTCAGACAACAACAGCAACGTCGACAATGAGACCAATAAAATGAGCACCATTTTTAAGCTTTTTGAAAAATGTGAATGCCATAAACTGAGCGCGTGTTAAAGTTTATAGATTATTATTAGTCAAAGTTTATAGTTTATTAGAGAATTCAGTTCATAACGTTTTTTTCTGGATATGAAACTGTTATATTGCATTAAGGCCGCGACAATACGAAATGACTGTGATCTTTAATGATCAGTGGCAACTCAGAAATCAAGATTTCAACAAAGCAGAACGTTTTTTAATATGTCATAAACTTTCCTTTACGCAAAAAGCAGTTTCAGCGTTTCTGCATGTACGCTCAGTGCCGTGATTCCCTGAAAATATTTGATACTGCTTTCCTTTCGGTTAAAATTTGGTCATTTTGGTAAAAAGTATAAAAATTGATACAAGCTGAATATTAAGCCATCCGTCAGTCTGAATAATACGAGGGAGTGAAGCAACATGTACAGTATTCTAAATAATTTCTTGAAATATATCTTCATTTCTCCAGTTTTCCACAGATAATAAATTTTCCTTCTGCTAACATACATCCGTCTGTACTTGTACTTCATTTGTAGATATTACCGTCTGACGAACAATCCCGTAAATACACACCTCATGCATCCATACATCTAGAAGTCAGAGAGCTCATTTCCAAAACTTACCATCACCGGAGTTATTTTTGCGAAGCCGGGCCACGCGACACCCCGCCAAACAGAAGCAATATTGATTACCATGGATTGAAGCATTGCGACGGAAATAAGCGGCGTGAGTGACGAATGGGGCAGCGTTTCCGGCAACCTTGAAAGCCAATGACCTCATGGCACCAGGTGCTTTATGGCAGCCGTTCGAATGAAGGTAATTAGCTTCGACATTGGACTGTGGCGGAACAATGACCAATCACGCAAGTCGAGACAAAAGGAGTCGCCAGAGAACAGCTGCACCGCTACCGATCTAGACTTGACCTTGATGTAGGAAGCAACCCGTATAATCTGACTGCATCCCTCTTACAGTCTCATTCTTTGTGTAATGCCCTGTAATCAGGAGCAAAGATTCCGACATTGACTCGAAAATCACCAGGCATAATTTTAGTTCTTCACCAAATCTTGTACGAAATACAAACAGCCAGAGATTCATGAATGTGAAGCACACACGTTCAAAATTTCAGAGTTATTGTTTTGTTCTGAAAGTCTGCCTGTACAGCCTACAAGTCAATGCTCAGCACTCGAGTGAGACGAAGAGAAAAAATTCAGCATAACCCCAATAGGCATTTCAAACAGTTTCGTCCGGAAATATTCTTGGAAAATCATACATGATGATATGAGATATGACCAAGATAGTTATGTCATGCTATGGTGTAAAATGAATTAACGATGGTTTTAGCTAATACATTAAACATATATGATTCATGCTGATGTGTGTAAGATCTCCGGAATAACTGCAGCACCATTCAAATTTTGATGCACCATTCAGCTTCCTAAAATTTAACGCAAATTCCACATTAATTAATAACTTTGCATTATGCGCAGATAATTGTCGATCTAAAGTCCAGATGAAGCAGGGCTGCCAAAGATCTAAAACGAAGACACAGATACCAGCCAGCAAAGCAGCCTCTACGCGTTTTAAACGGACGAGGTTGACGGCGGGATGCCATTTTGGCGCGTCAAATTAAACCCCGCGGAAACAATATCAATGGCGGGAGCTCACAGCTGAAAATCTGGGCATCTCCTCATTTGGAACGGAAGAGCATAATCTAATTGATGGTGCTGAAAGGAACATACTGAATATATTTGCGCCAGGACTATGGATTTCTAAAACTCTAAATTAGGAAGCTGTTCTACTCAGGCTTCGACATCTGGAATCTGGATGACAGAATCATTTGCTGAAACCCCGTCAGCAGAAGAATGGAAATCTTCTAACTGAAGTTGCAAGAAGCTAAAGAGTTGATCTTGTTAAAGGTCAATGTGCCCAGTTAAAAGGGAGAGCATGAATCCTTTACTAGTGTACCTCAAGCAGTGTCGTCTATCGAATCCATCAGTCTGATGGACAATTTTATGACATACGTCAGAGAAGATTTTGGTAACGGCAAAAGTAACCTCAATAATAATGCAATGAGGTTGTTGCGGATTTATGCAAACAACGGGCTGTCCATTATGAACACTTTCTTCGAGCATCGAAGAGTGCATCGAAATACCTGATACCGGGAAGCTTGTGCACAGAGGTCGATGATCGATTTGATAATCGGATCGTCTGACTTAAGACGCTCGGTAATGGATGTTCGTGTTAAGAGAGGCGCAGAGTTATCAACCGATCATCACGTTGGTGTTAGCACACTACGTTGTGGGAGATGGAGTAAGATGCGAAGTCCTGGTAACAGAAGCAACTAGAGGATCAAACGGAAAATACAAGGGCAAAATGTTCAAAAAACGGAGGACTACCATTCGGACACTTTCCGGTAATGACCGCGGATGATGAACAGAGTGGAAGCTCTTTAAAAGCGGCTTCTAACGTGCTGCCACGGAAAGCTGTGATTTGAGACAGGTTGTCCTGTCGCTTGTGGTCAGAAACGAACGTCTTTACACATGCCAGAGTTTGAACTGGCTGTCATTCAAGTGATGGATTTGATGCAACGAAAATTTATTCAGATCCGGTACGAAGAGATGCGCAAGGAGGTAGCGAAAGCATTGGCCAAAGCGATCTATGATTCTTGAGGAAGTTAGGAAAATGCTGAGGTAGAATTTATAAAGGGCAAGCAAGGCATTCTGACAGACAAATCGCGGCCTCCGAGAGGGAAAGAGGGTAGATTATGAGTCCTGATGGACAGGTGTGGGTGCTCTCTTGCCTGAAAGCTACACTCTTACCGATGACGAGAGTACTCTGAGGAATTTCATATTCTGGAGCAACCGCAAGGCGATTTGCTGAAGAGCAGCGCACAACTGATATTAGGCTTTCAGTAGAAGACGAAGCAGACGCTGTAAAAAATGTGCTGCAATCAATCAGATCCGCCTTAAGTCACTTAAGCTTAAGCTTTAGGCAGAGCATGTTGCGGCTAGCAAGTGTCTGTTAGACTGCGATAGCTAAGGAGAAGACACCAGTGGATTGTCAAACGTAGGCTTTATTACCCCTGTTCAAGAGGCGAAACAGATTACCTCTCCTTCTGCTGCCTCAGGTCCGTTATGCTGCTTTGTCGGTCTCCCGAGAAAGGAAAATACCATTTTGCGCTCTACTGCACTGCTGGCTTTTCAGACCCACCAAAATTACTGAGCAGGTCGAAATAACGATCATAACTCAATATGACCATAGTCATACGGGTGGGTAACTCCCTTCTGGCGACCTCTAGCCATTCGTTGTACATTACAAGATTTTCCGGAAATCTCTACGCATAAGCGAACTCAATGCACGATCATCATCGTGCACGAAGTCGCACTGAGGAAAATCGTTCATCAGTCTCACCTTATATCAAGGGCACTCGGGGAACTAGAGGAGTAGAAGAAATTCATTGCAAATGACCTAAGTAAGCAACATTAATGATAAAGAGGATAGATTTTGCTTTTGTGCCATCTCTTGCATTGCCTCTTAAAGAGACCACCACTTGAGGCTGAAAGCAAGTGAGCTGACAATGCGAATAGCTTTCTACTACTGTAGCCTCAAGTAAAGAAAAATCTACCTGCTCTATTAGGATTGACAACGCGCAGACGGCAAAATTTCTTCATTTAAAGACCAAAATCGGAAGAATAT